CCGGGAACCTTATTTCGACAGATCAAACTAGCTAGGATCGAGGATTCACGCCTTCCCTTCCGCTTACACCATTTCTTTGTGAATGAAGTTAGTGCACAATTTCGTGGAATGTAGGTAGTGGTTATGATCGATTTGATAGAAAAGACGGAATAGTGTGTATCTTTCGTTGGGGATTTCCTGGAAAAAATCGTCGGGTCTTCCTACAATTTCTTATAAAAGATATTCAGTCTGTCAGAATAGAAGTGAAAGAAGGTATTTATGCTCGTCGTGTCCTTTATATGGATATCAGAGGCCAGGGAGCCATTCCATTGACTCGTACTGATGAGAATTTTACTCCACGGGAAATGGAACAAAAAGCTGTTGAATTGGCCTATTTCTTGCGTGTACCAATTGAAGTATTTTAAGAAATGAGCCGGAATGCTTTCTCAGCAGGAGGGCAAAAACGCAAGAATTCTCTTTTTCCATAACATAACTTAATTGAGGTTTCTTCAGAACATTCATTCGAGTCAAAGCAGACATATATGGAACAAGTATAAAAAAAACTATTTTGGGGAAATCGGTAACTTGATTGATTTGGAACCTTATAATAACCTGGTCCCGGGCATCTACCATTATACCCATAATGGTCGGCCATACTATTGCTATCCATAATGGAAAGGAACATTTACCTATTTATATAACAGATCGTATGGTAGGACACAAATTGGGAGAATTCGCACCTACTTTAAATTTCCGAGGCCATGCAAAAAGCGATAATAGATCGCGTCGTTAAAAAACGTTTTTAGATGTGGGCACTCTTCAGCCCGAGGACAATCTCTCAAATACACATTAAGATGTTGACCCTTTTTCTTTTCTTTGCTGATTCCTCTCAATGAAATTTTCCATGTTGCACTAAGTTACTTACGGATGTATGCATGCAGTCCGGGAACACTTTGGGGTAAACACCCATCCAAACAACTCCAACAAGAAAAGGTATAAATATGAAAACTTCTCTACCATTTAGATCGGAGAATTTATGGAGGAAATCCGGTTTTAAATTCCCAGAAACCACACGATTATATAGCCAAAGGGAATACGCCGCGCCTAAAATCATCCCAAGCGCTGCTAATGTGGCTACTAAGCTATTTCTTTGGAAAGCTCCTACTAAGATGAGAAATTCCCCGATAAAGCTGCTAGTACCAGGTAAACTCATATTGGCCAAAGTGAAAAAGAAGAAAATGGTAGAGAAATTCGGCATGGTGCTCACTAAACCTCCGTAATATCTAACAAGTCGAGTCTTATGTCGGTCATATAGAACACCAACACATAGAAAAAGGGCTGAAGAAACCAGTCCATGACTTAACATCAGTAGAATGCTACCTCCAATTCCCTGTATGTTCAGACTAAACATACCAATAGTCTTGCAAATATATAGATTCAAATTACTCTTTCGAGAGATTAAGCCAATAACTATATCTCCATCAATCCATATCCATGAAAATGGAATTTTTTTATAAGAACTATTATAAAAAAGTAGAGTTACTTCTTTTTTCCTGACCGGGTCAATAAAGTTATGAAAGATTTTGATTTATTTATCTCTGATTTTATATATAATGGATTTACCTGGACTAATACATGATTTTCTTTTAGTCTTTTTGGGATTGGGTCTTATATTAGGGGGTCTGGGAGTAGTATTACTTCCCAATCCTATTTATTCTGCCTTTTCGTTGGGATTGGTTTTTGTTTGTATATCTTTATTCTATATTCTATCAAACTCCCATTTTGTAGCTGCTGCGCAGCTCCTTATTTACGTAGGAGCCATAAATGTTTTAATAATTTTTGCTGTGATGTGATCCCCATTACTGAAAATATGTTATACACTACGATATATTGCTCTGATGTTTTTACAACTATCTTTTTTGAAGCAGATAGTTCACAGTGCTCATTCTAGAACTCATGCGGTTCCGACGTGCCCAGAGGCCAGAGGCGAATCCGTTCACAGTCCGTAGGACCAACACCATTCGAAGGTGGGCGGGGACAACAAACATCCATCTCGTTCGTACTTTGGATACCCGTAGAACCATAAAAAACTTTTTAAGTTTATAATTCCTTTAAATTAAGGGGCGTTGGGGACAAATCAATTTTTGGAGTTACCTTTTATCTAGTATCAACAGCTTGATACTAAAAAAAAGAAAAAGATCTTTCGCAGGCTAGAGATTTCTTGTAAAAACACTAGCCCCACTACCACTAAATTTATAATTAGAATATTGAAAGCTTCTTATTATTTATTAGATATATGATTTGCTTTTCATTATGCACATAAGGGAGGAGCCGTATGAGATGAAAATCTCACGTACGGTTCTGTATCTGTAACGGATAACATACAAAAGCTTTGGAATATTCTTATCGGGCACTAGAACGAAACCCGTTCTTACCACAATTTCATAATATGTCTGTCATTACGTGCGACTATCTCCACTATAGAAAGAAAAAAAGGAAAGAACTCAATTTTCAGCACGAA